GATGATTTTTCTCGTTTTACATGGACAATCTTCCTTGCTAGTAAAGATGAATGTTTTGATGAATTTTCAAATCATGTTAAGAGAATTGAAAATAAAAAAGATTTAAAAGTTGTTAAAATAAGAAGTGATCATGGTGGTGAATTTTAAAATATCTCTTTTTATGATTTTTGTGCGCATCGTGGTATAACTCATGTGTTTTCCGCTCCAAGAACACCACAACAAAATGGTGTTGTTGAACGGAAAAATCAAACCATACAAGAGATGGCACGAACTATGTTAAACTCCTTTGATTTGCCTAAATATTTTCGGGCGGAAGCCGTCAATACGGCTTACCATGTTTTAAATCGTGTTTTGATTAGACCAAAGCTTAAGAAAACTCCTTATGAACTATTTTATGGCAAAACTTATGGCAAAACTCCTTTTATTGGATATTTTCGTATCTTTGGTTGTAAATTTTTTATTTTAAATACAAAAGATTACCATGATAAATTTGATTCTAAAATTGATGTTAGCATTTTCCTAGGATATGCACCTCGAAGTAAGGCTTATAGAGTCTTCAACAAACGAACTCTTATTGTTAAAGAATTTATAAACGTTACTTTTGATGAGTCTAATATTGGTTCACAAGTTATTTTGCCTAGGAAAGATGATGATGATGTTGAAGGAGGATTGGAATTTTTGCAACTTAATAATACACCCTCAATAGAAGCACAAAAAGATGTGAAAAGCTCCAACACTCATGTACAAGAAGAACTCCCTAAAGCATGGAAATTCGCATTAAATCATCCAAAGGAATAAATTATTGGGAGTCCTTCACAAGGGGTTGTTACTCGCTCAAAGGTTTTGAGTGAGTGTGGTAATGTTGCTTTTCTATCTCAATTAGAACCTAAGAAAATTAATGATGCTTTAAATGATAAATTTTGAGTTTTAGCTATGCATGATGAACTAAACAATTTTCGAAGAAATAATGTTTGGAAACTAGTTCCTAGACCTAACAATGCTAGTGTAATTGGAACAAAATGGGTTTTTAGAAACAAACTTGATGAACATGGCATTGTTACTAGAAATAAAGCTCGTTTGGTTGCCTAAGGATACAATCAAGAGGAGGGCATAGGCTATGATGAAACCTTTGTACCGGTTGCTAGGTTAGAATCTATTAGAATGTTCTTGGCATTTGCTAGCTTTAAAGATTTTAAATTATTTCAAATGGATGTTAAAAGTACCTTTTAAAATGGTTTTATAGAAGAGAAAGTATATGTTGAGCAACCCCCGGTTTTATAGATCATGCTTTTCCTAATCATGTTCAAAAAGCTGTATATGAGAAAAAGGAAAAATGATTTCATTTTAGTTCAAATATATGTTGATGATATTATTTTCGGTGCTACTAATGAATCTCTTTGCAAGGATTTTTCTAAAGTTATGCAAGATTACTTTGAGATGAGCATGATGGGAGAGCTCACATTCTTTCTCGGATTTCAAGTCAAGCAAACTAAAGATGAGATATTCATTTCTCAAAGCAAGTATGCTAGAGAATTGGTGAAGAAATTCAATTTGAAGAATTCTAAGCATGCACCAACTCCCATGAGTACAAGTGTCAAGCTTGATGTGGATGATAGTGGTGAGGATGTGGACCAAAAATTATACCGAGGTATGATAAGTAGTCTTTTTTATCTCACCGCTAGTAGACCCGATACCATGTTTAGTGTGTGTGCATGTGCACGTTTTCAATCTTCTCCTAAAGCATCTCATTTGATTGCCGTTAAGAGAATTATTAAATATGTTCATGGAACAATTGATCTTGGTTTGTTTTATCCAAAGAGCATCTCTTTTGATTTATATGGTTTTTGTGATACCGACTTTGCCGGATGTAAGGTAGATCGCAAGAGTACGAGTGGAACATGCCAATTCTTGGGAAATTCTCTTATTTCTTGGGCTTCCAAGAAACAAAATTGTGTTGTATTGTCCACTACGGAAGCAGAATATATTACCGCCGGTTTATGTTATGCCCAAGTTTTGTGGATGATACAAAGCTTAGTTGACTATGATTTAAATTTTCAAAATATAAAAATCTTTTGTGATAACACTAGTGCTATCAATATTTTAAAAAATTCGGTTTTGCATTCTAAAACCAAGCATATTGATGTGCGCCATCATTTCTTACGCGATCATGTAGAGAGACAAAATGTATCCCTTGTGTTTGTTGATACAAAATCTCAATTAGCGGATATCTTTACCAAGCCTCTTGGTGAAGATGATTTTTGTCGCATAATAAATGGTTTGGGCTTATGCACTATGTGAAAGTTCTAATTGCTTGCTTGATTAGTTACATTTCACATGTATTTTTGTGTATTTTTTACCCATTTTGATGGTGACAAAGGGGGAGAGAAATCTCCTCATTTGTGCACATAGATAGGGAGAGCTCATAGATAGGGGGAGCTACTATCTATAAGCTATATTTATTTTGCTCCTATATAATGGTTGGTTGTCATCATCAAAAAAGGGGAGATTGTTAGCCCTTATGTTTTGATGATATTTTACAACCACCATTATCGGTACTAATTGCTTGTTATGATATTTTACAACCACCATTATCGGTACTAATTGCTTGTTGAGTGATAATGTAGTTAATATATATATCAGGCATGTTAGTGCCATACATGAAGGATTGGATGGAATATGCGTTACAACGATGATATCCAAAGGAGGAGGAGGCATAGTGATGAAGCAACGTTTATTCAAGAACACTAAATGCAATAAGAAGCTTCATCAAACTCAAGCTATATCAAGACTCAAAGAATTGTATTCTATGTGAGGATATTAGCTAGTTTTTATTTTTTCTCTAGTGCTATAATGTAGGCAAGTAGTTTAGATTTCATTTGAAGCTATTGGGATATCACACACACGTTTTCATACTTATAGTTTTGAGCGTTTTCACAAAATATCATTTTCACAAGTATGAGGACATATTCGCAAAATTCATTTTCCAAACAATTTGTTTTTAGTGTTAAAAACATTTTACAAAGTTTCACAATTTTTGGAAGTCAATTAAATATTTTATAGATTTTTTAAGAGAGTCAAAAACAGTATTTTTATGAGTATCAGTTTGCGGTCGACCGCCACAGTCGACCGCGTCTGAGTTCTTTTCGTCAGTGGGCAGCAGAAACTTTCACGGTCGACCGCCGCGGTTGACCGTGAGCTCGAAAATTCCCGCGGTCGACCGCCACGGTGGTCCGCAGAACTCTCTGTAAAATTTTTAAGTCAAGTTTCAAAGCTGGCTCGCGGTCGACCGCGAGAATTGTACGGTCGACCGCCGCTTATTTCAAACGGTCTTTTGGGTACAGATTTTAGCGCCGATTTTTCCTGGATTTGGGGGATTAGGGTATGGGTTTAAACATGTGTATTTTCTCCTATTTAAACCTCCTATACTCATTCTTCCTCAAGTGTCCCAAGCCATTGAAAAACCAAAGATTTTCTTTTACTGAGAGCCAAAAATTTCAAACCTGTTTTTCTGTGTTTTCCTGTGTTAACATCCCAGCTTCAGTGTAATCTTTCTCCTTGCCATAGGGACATTGTAAAGAGATAGTTTTTACACCATTACTACTGTTGAGAGCTTGATCTTGTGAAGATCAACTGTGTGGGAGTGTGATCTTGTGGTGATCAACTGTGTAGTTGTGAGATCTCGTGGAGATTGTTGCGTAGAGGAAGTTCCGGCTTCCAAACCGGGTTGTGTAGTGGATTCTCCTCGAGAGTGGGGAGCGGGGACGTAGGTCAGCGGGTCGAACCTCATTAACACATCACGCGTCACTTGGATAACGATTTCTCACTCTATCTCCTTTACATTTGTTGTTCATTATTGTGGTGTATTGCTTACCTTATTTTTATTGCACAATTATAGCCTTAAGATCCTAATCCCCCCCCCCCCCCCCCCCCCGGGGCCCCATTAGAGCTTCTTGATGAAGAATTGAAGTTCATTAGCGTCGGAAAGGTTAGACGGCATTGGAAAGGTTAGACGGCGTCAGAGTTCAACAATGCCAGAATAAATCAAGAGAGAAATTTTGGAGAAGAGCCTCGATTTAGGTCTGGAGAGAAGGAGAGAGGGGAAATTGAGCGAGAAGGAGGTAATGTGGTAGAGGATGAATGGGTGGGGAAGAGAGTTCAGGAGAGAGTTGAGGAGTGATTTGAGGGAGAGAACGGGGAGAGGGATCTGGAGAGTGGTTGTGCCCTAATTTTTGGGCACGACTAGGTTCATATATGCTCATCAAATACAAGGGATTACTAGTCTCATGTATTTGCTAGGTTGATAAAACTCAACACTAGTCTCTATTTAACACACTGAACTAGTAATCCCATGTGTTTCCTGTGTTGCGCGTAAGTTTCTGTTTAACTCATGAGGTTTCTGTGATGTATTTAGTGGCTGGTTAGCTAATCCTAAACACACAGGACTAGTAATCCCGTGTAATTTCAATCCCCAAAATCGATCTTTTTTCCCCAAACCGTGATGAGTTAATCGAAAGAGGTCGATTTTGCTAAATATTTCGTAAAAATGTCGTTTTCGCTAAATATTTTTAAAATGGGTCTCTTTCAAATAATTCTCCTTGTTATGTTGGAGTGGCGATGTTTTCTACCAGTCAATAATTTTACTCGTCTCAGACTCAAAGCTAGACAAGAATTCATGCAGGCAAATCCAAGATTTCATGACATGCTTAATCTGTCGCTGAATTAGTCATCTCGATTCCTGGTACACGTGGTCATGTTGGCAAAGCTTGCAAGTATATGTACAATTACTCATCTCAATAAGGATATATATAACGAGGTGGCACCTGTTAAGGCATTAGCATTCACATAGATACCATTCACATTATCAAAATGCTATGAGAAATGACAGTAACGTTGTTGTTGTGTGTGTGTGGATGTTTTTTTTTTTTTTTTTTTTTTTTT